GATAATCTAAAAAAGATAATTACACTAGCTAAGCGAGGCATTTTATCATGTTAAAGTAATATTGTACAAATGCATGTAGCCTTATTGTATTGAAATATGGATTTACGTGTAGTCAAGAGAGTCGTCGTCCTGAGATCAAATCCTTCAGTTATTTTCAGCAGTAAATATATACCTTCGGGAAATGTCTTTTTTTCATATTTTGTAGGTGGATGCTATACGGTCTTGTAACTTAATATGTGAAATAAGAAATAGKGGTCACCATTCTCGTTTTGGATTTATCTTTAAAAAACTTCGCAAAATGGTAGAAAACTTACACCTATCAGAGGGAAGAGGAAAAAGCGAAATTTTTCGACTCAAAAAAAATGAAAATTTAGATTTAAATAGAATTTTTTACTTGGTATATAGAAGAGTGCCAAACAAGGTAATTATCTTAATGGCAACAAATATGCGCACGCATTCTAGCGACTTTCCTCTAAAACCTGTGCTTTGGGTCGTATGCAACATGCAACATGCAACATGCAACATGCAACATGCAACATGCAACATGCAACATTTTAATAGTGGTATATATTTTTTCTTAGGTAAAAGGGGATGAACTGTTTTCAACTGAGCTTCAACCTTATTTTTATTTGCATCAGCCTTCGATCCTGTATTAACTTGTCAGGTATGATTAAGAAATAAATAGCTAATCATAACAACATTGTATCATTTCATCGCACAGAATTGGTGGACACATCCGGGACATTTCTATTGTTTTGGCGCGAGGTTCAAATCATGTTCATCGGGCTDTGACTCGTTAACAGAGCAAAATTATAAGAGAATTGGGTTAAAATGGCTCATGGCTCATCACAACCAGCATTTTAGTGGGTTCTTATTAAATTTTTTACATGGCCAGGGGGTGAAATGAAAGTAAAGATATCATTCTAGAGTTATGGGGAAACTAAAATTGTAAACGAAAAATGTTTTCAGAGGTTTTTTACCAAAGAAAAAGAAGGATTTTAAACTATTTTAGTATGAGATTCATTACTGAGGTCATACATCTTGATCTTAAAATATTTGCTTTCCAAATCAGTTGGTTATTGGATGGCCAGGAGGTGGAAAAAAACTTCAATATGTGATTATGTTATAATTTCCAAACTTTCCCAATTCATATCACGTATGTGGTTCTCGATCTTGAGGCTCCATAAACGAATGCGAAAACAGCATACGTATGCTTGTAAAAGACTCCCTTGTATTAGTTTGAAAATATTGTTTCCTAAAAAAATAAAATCTAGTATGTACGATATATAGATGATTTAGATGGGTTTATAATGAAGTTAAAATTGTAAATTTGAAAAGTAATTTTCCGTTGATAATTAAATATTGTGTCCTACAGATGGGTTAAAGTGGATTTCAAAACCTTCGAACCAAAAGTTTGGAAATGTTGGATCTACGGTTCACATCACCTGGCATTACGATTGCAACCAGAAATTTGTTGTATCTACACTTATTTACGACAATAGACAGATAGCCCAACGACTCCCAGCTACACACAAATATATTCCAATAAAGAATAATATGGATGCTCATTTCTCTGTTATCGGTGGATCAAATGTAACAATGATCATCTTTGATGTTGAAAAAGAAAAAAGTGGATCATATTGCTGTGAGGTTATTTGTATTGGTGAACCATCAGAAAAGGCATGCACGATGCTCTTCATATATGGTGAGTATCGCACCCAGACCGCTGTATGGAATAACGAAATATACTCAATCCAATTCAATTAAATTGACATCAAAAACATCAAAGTAATAACACTTCTCCTACAGTGCATACGGACTGAATAATCTGTGAGTCGTCTAATGCAATRTTGTTAAAAATCCTAKGTAAGCTGCGTAHTGCCTAACTGGTTTTGCCACCCAATAGGTWGCTATCAATAGACGTCACTTCCGGTAATAGCTGCGTTTTTGATGGCTTGTAGAATCTTGGAGGTTGTTTTGATCTCTTGTTTTCTGGTTTGATATCGTGAAAATAGTCAAATACAATAGTTTGAAGACTTATTTTGATATGTTTTGACTCAGTCAACCGCTTGTTTGCCCCCCAGTCAACTCCAAAAAGTCACGTGATTGATAGTAAGCAATAGACCTATTGGGCTTGGGGTAATGTTTCCCTTGAGAATAAGATTCTTTGTTTGAGCTGTATCCATATTCATGTGTCTTCTCATGTGCAACCGAGCACAAACCTTAAACAAATAATTAATGATACTCTAGGGAATGACACGTGGCCTGAAATGGGAAAACATTACGTCAAAGCCGAAGAGGTCTATTAATAAAGCAGCCAATGAATTGAATTCGAATTTAGAAGTTTATTTTTGTGGAGGGAGGAAAAATCGCAGAACCCGGAGGAAAAACCCTCAAACCACAGGAGAGAACCAACCCTACTCACGTACGACACCGAATCCTACTCATCAGTTATATCATTACCTTCAAAATGGACGGCAGTAAACATTTCCGAAAGCTCGGCAAAAAAAAAAAAGATAGACGTATGTAGTCGAACTTACTTTAATCAATTTGGCCTCGTTTCTTGCATTGGTATGTATGCCGCATTCGGAACCTGGCTTGATGAAAAATTGTCACCAACTTTGCCAATCCTGACTATTACGCTCAGCCAGCAAGAGCAAAATCTCACATTTATTCTCTCTCTATTTCTATDTGTAGCTTTGCCTCGTATCAACTATCTGACCTCGCACCTTTATGGAACACAAGGAGATTCAATAACATTAAGATGTAATGCCTCTGGACATCCAGCACCCAATTATACATGGATACACAAGGATACGAACAGAACAATGGCTAATTTCAGCGTAACGTCATTCAACATCACTGGTAAAGAATCAGGAGGAGAGTATTGCTGTCACGTGTCAAACGGTTTTGGGGAGGTGAATAATTGTACCTCCCTTAAAGTGATAGGTAAACTGCTTTACATTAACTTAAAACATATTTTCTTTCTTTTTTCTTTCTTTCTTTCTTTCTTTGTTTCTTTCGTACAATGGTACGCCCAAGGTACCAAACCACCAACCAACCATTAAAGAAAACCGGATTTAAGGGGTGGGAAAAGTCCAGGCCATGAATTTCAACCCGAACGATATAGATGAATTGCTGAATGTTTCCATCCGGTTCATCGATTGCCGGGTAATGATAGACCAAGATATGTTAGATAGACAAAGACATAGCATATCAGTATAGTAAACAGGGAGCAAGATAGAATAAACTGGATCGCTCAAAACATAAAGATCGTACCATTTCAGTCTAGTTTAAATAACCCTTTGGGTTTACAAGTGGTAAGGGATAAATGCCCTGGTTATATGTCCTAAAATGTGTCCCAACATCTAGCCAACATTTTTTGGGTCAAATGCTTAGATTGATCTTTTTGCATGGTCTGCCAAAAATTAAGCAATAGAAAACTTTTTTCCGTGTTTACATAGCATCACGAGGGGAGGTTGGGAGAATTCGAGACAGTTATGCAAACCCGAGACGTAGTCGAGGGTTTGCATGACTGTCGAGAATTCTCCCAAACCCCTGACTGCCTGCTGTGGCCCTGACACAAGTCAAAATTTGGAACTTCGTATTCAAAATACATTTTTGGGGGCGTTTTTTTTCCTCGAAAGAAATTGTAAATTTTTTAACTTGTACCGGGAAAACACGAAAGTTGTGACGTAAGAATTGTGTTTACATACCCTCATGCAAACATGGCTATCAACCAATCACAGCGTGCGTACTATTTAATTTATTTTATAATGTTAGATCAAAACATAGATAGTAGTTAACGTGTTAACTGTGATCAAAATGTTGGCTACAAATGTTGRGTAACGTCGAATGCCGTGTTAAATGCTAGCTGAATTTTGGGTCAGGAACCATTTCTTTTTCAGGGCCATTATCGGGTCTTTGCAAAAGGAAATGGGACTGCGGAAGCTTATGCATGAAATGATTCCTTGTACAGCCTCTTTACGTATCGGTTTGTCTTTGTACTGATTGTGCTGAATGTACTGAGCATACAAGTAAGATCCAAGCGAACAAAGAGAGGCAGATAAAAAGATAAATTTGAATGATAATTTTGATATATGTATCTTGCCATTGTTGTTATATAGAATATCAACCGATTGATACAGAGCTGACATCGCAAATAAATTGTACAACAGCAAATAAGACATTCAAAATATTATGTAAGGCAGACGCATCGCCATCAGTGCAATACTTCATCCAACAAGGGAACAAAACAATGGTCAATTCCTCTGATGGTAACGCAACAATTACTACAGCAGAGAATGGATATCTTAATTTCAGTTGTATTGCAAAGAACAAATATGGACAAGGAAAAACAGTGCATCTT